TTAAATCAATAAAGTTTACAAGTATGTAATAATTTTTAATTCAATAAAGTAATTTCTAGTTTTAAGCTAACCGTAGTGAAGTTGTCCTCTCTGCGACCGACTCTAAACAACTGACATTTACCCATTTAAACAATTCACTCAATTAAATGTTCAAGTGTTTGCTTATAACATCAAATTAAAGTTGAACAAATTTTAAATAAAGTGATTTGAAAGTTCCTACCTTTAATCCGCTAAACGTTTCATCTTCAAATTCCTTCACTGGTTTGAAATACTTTTTGCATGCAAATCTTTGGATAGACGACTTATCCACTAATGATACTGAGCCTTAAACAGTCACTTAAACTCGCTTTCCCTATTCTGGTATAAAGTTAGTTTTTTAGACTATGTACTTACTTCTCTCTTTGTTTTTAAGTGGCTTTTATAAGAAACACTGACTGTGAAAGATTTTTCCAATTTAGAATCATCTCTCCACTTTCTTGCACATACTTATTAAATCAAATACAGAATAGTTCCTTTATTTCGTGAATTGTTAATGAAAAGCTTCATTTGCGTTTGAGGCGAAATTAGCAACTCATAAAAAACTGAACAAATTCAGAGGGTTTTATAACTGTTTATATGTTTCTTTATCACCTTAATCAATTACATTGTTTTAGCGGTAAGAAGACAAACATATTGTTTTTGAATAATTAATTTTCCAATTTCACTATCTAACGTATTTCGTTAAAAATTTTTTATTTTTAGAAACCTACTACTTTGCTGACTCAAGGATAGGCCTGAATTGGCCTTAAAAAGTAAAGTTGAAAACAAAGCAGCGACAAAATTGATGATCAGCAAAAGCATTTATAGGAAATAAGCATAGTGCAGCGCTGTTACAAATTAACTCTCCTGCTAAATGATGTTTTGATGAGACCTGTTTTTCAGGCACTTTGCATTGTGGAAAGAAGAGGAATGACAATGAAAATGCTGCGACACGATTTAGTTACTGCTGCTGCTTTTTGAACATTTCTCCACCAACAGAACAAACAGTAAGAAACAGTGATGAGAAGCAGTACGTTAGACCACGTACTTTTTTTTGACTATTCTTTTGACAG